GGAATTTTCTTGTCTCCTAAACAATGTGGGCACTGGTGAGTCATTTGGGAAAAAAAAAGACAAGATCTGAAAAATACAATTTGAGGGAAAAAGTCTGGTTTTCTACCCAAGATTTAATTGCAAGATGAGAATCTGACTTGTGAGCAGTGAAGAGCCGATTTGCATGCATTCATATATCGTTGTTGAACTATTTTCGACTCATTTGTGTGCAGTTTGCAGTGAAGAGAAACCAGACACCAACAATTCCCAACACGAAAGTCAGAGCGGGTATCTGGTGGTGCCTGCTTGCTACTTTCTCCTCCAAAACTCCACCTTGGCTAGCAGTTCCTAATATCTCAGGACAAGAGTCTGGGGCTATTTTCCCGGGAGCATTGGAGGCTGAGGGGTGACCTTCTAAAGGTTTATAAAATAATTACAGGCATGGATAGGGTGAATAGACAAGGTCTTTTCCACAGGGGAGGGAAGTCCAAAACTAGACAGCATAGGTTTTAGGTGAGAGGGGAAAGATTTAAAAGGGACCAAGGGGCAACCTTTTTGCACAGCAGGTGGTGCATGTACAGAATGAGCTGCCAGAGGAAGTGGTGGAGGCTGGTTCAATTACAACATTTAAAAGACATCTGGATACATACATGAATAGGAAGGGTTTAGAGGGATATGTGCCAAATGCTGGCAAATGGGACTAGATTCATTTAGAATATCTGGTTGGCATGGGCAAGTTGGACCAAAGGGTCTGTCTGCATGCTGTACATCTCCATGACTCTATGACAACAGCAACCACCTGCATACTGCATTCACACAGGATGGCACCAACATCATGGCACATCTCTGAACCACTTAGAACACAATTATCCATTTCAAATCTGCACATTGAAGGGCATCAACACTTTGCATTGTAACGCTGCTACCAGGCCACTATGCACACAAGCACGGCAACCTTCTCATAGATAGGAGCAGGGTGCATTAAGGGGCTCACTTATTTGTGCCTACTTTGATGTTCACAGCGTCTCTTCCTTGCCTTACCTACTGCGACTTTGCTGCCTCATTCCGAACAGATGGACTTACAGTACTTGTGGCTTGCATCATCTTTATAGTAGACACAAAACCTGGTAGCTTGTCATGGTTGTCAGCAATGCTCTATCAAAGGGGTGAATATGTTGCTGCATGGTATCATGCTACATCAATCTGATACCTGCACCATGTGCCAGCAGTATACGTGGCATTGACACTGAATGTGCTTCACACAAATAGCTGTGTCTCAAAGTCTAAGGGAAGTAGTTCTTAATCAAGTCGATGGAGACTGTCTTCAATCAGAGGATAGTATGTCAAAGGCAACATCCAGCAATAGTTCAATTGCTTGGACACAGTTATCCGCTGAGCTTCAGGCAATCAGAGTTAGGATGCTGGTATCACTACAGTGCAGGGAATGGACCACAGTCAGTCTTACAACTAGTCCAGTGATTTGTGGTAAATCAGTGGAGATGCTCCACTGTGATGATTCAGGCGTTTGGACACGTATCAGCTGGGGCTTTGTTTCCAAGTCGGTCAGAGAGATAAGCCACGTTCAGTCCAGAGTGTCTGTTCATTGAAAGTCAATAGGGTTATCAGGTGCCAGAGGTATGGTGGGGACAGTGAGGAGGTTAATTGAACAGTTTAGAGCCAGCATGCTAGGACATACAGGAGAAAAGGGACAACTCAAATTATAAGTGCGTGCAATGATAGAACATGGGGTGGTAAGGGATAATGAGGGGCCATTGATGGTCATCACCATCCTGGCCTCAATAGAGGGTCAGAGCATAACCATGGATGGGCATAACTGAACAATGTGCCTGAGGTTCGGAGGTTAACCAGGGAGATCTGGGACAATGAAGAAGATCAAAGCTGAAAGGGTTGATGGGGAGGGCAATACACTGTACCTATGGACGGCATTTCGTGGCTCGCAATGATTGATCTGCTACACAGTTCTGGTTTAACTGTAGTACTGATGGTAGAAATTCCACAAATGTACTGGCAGTGGTGAGTACTTCCACAGTTGATGAGTACAAGATAGGTTGAGTGCATGATGTATACCTAATGAGGTGAGCAGCAGAGAATTGTATGAGAAATCTCACTGGACCTCACAGAGCCAAACCTTGCTTGAAATATCCCAAAATTGACAGCTGATTTTTGCTGAAAATTCAACCAAATCTTGCACTTGGCATTAAGAGTCACCAAGTGGATATCAATATAGAGGTGGAGTGTGACCACCCTGACCTTGTCTAGAGCAGCACTTAAGTTAAAAACTAGATGTCATCTGAGTCAGGAATATTGTGAGATGTGCAATTGAGAAAGTTAAACTGTACAAGTTTTTCAAAGGCTGCATTCTGAAAAGGTGCATATCTTACTCAGATTTTGGGAAATGGATGTGGCAAAGGACTGGGAGAGTTTCTAATTCCTGTTAAAGTGAAATCTCGGGATACAAAGGGAACGCCTAAAGAAGGATATCAAAACCTACCCAGCCATTAGAAATGTTATCACTGCTACTTACACAAAATGTTCCCAAACTAAAGACACAAATCTGCGGCTGTGAGCCCAGAAGGATAAATAGTTCTGGCAGATAGAGGCCAATGTTTGGAAGAGAGATGTGGCAAGCTGTTCAAAATTGAAATCAAAAACACAAGAGTTCCTATTTTTCTACATAATTTAGAGTCCTGATGAAGGGTGTAAACCCAAAACGTCAATTTTCCTGCTCCTCTGATGCTGCCTGACCTGCTGTATTCCTCCAGCTCCACACTGTATTGACATTATCCGTTTGTCCACTAGTTTTTCACCAGAAATTCCTAATTTGGAGGCAAGGCTTGCATGATCTCTTTTAGGTGACAAATAAATGTAAAATATTAAGTCCTATTATAAAACTTAAGAGTTCATAATTATTTAACTCAGACATGGAACAGGAGACTATCAGCCCCTTGAACTATTTCCATTATTCCATACAATCATGGCTGATATGTCCTAACTCCATCCACGTACATGAGCTCCATCTGCATTGACACCACTGGCTAGCATAAACCTAGATTTGAAATAATTAATCGAGCTATAATTTACTGCTTTTGCAGGAGATAGTGCAACATTTCTACCAGATTTTGTATCAAGATTTTTCCGAAATTTATTCCTCAATGGCCTATCTGATTTTAAGAGTAAGTCCCCTTGTGATAGTTTGCGCTAACGACAGAAAAAGTTTCTATCAATTCCTTTCAAAATCCTAAAAGCCTGAAGCAATCACCCCTTAGCCTTACATGTTTCAAGGAATTCAAGTCTAATTTATGTAATCGACAGTCAACACTTACATTGTGTCGTCTTTTATTATGTATCAAAAGTATATTTTAAGTCTAAATGCACAACGGAAATTATTTAGAAATATACAGTTTTTCAAATATTCACAACTAGGACTTTTTAACATAATATTGTTGAGCATGTTAATTATAAATTTCCAGACAAAAATGTTTCTCAAGGAACAGAGATAAGTAAAGAAAAACACTCAAATTACATTTTGCATCATTCTACATAAGTCATCTGCACAAATGAGTAACTACAGCAGAACTTCAAAAGCAACTCAATTCCAGTGTTAGCTAAAGCTTTATCAACATAATAATATGTACATAATTTTTACATTGCGTAAATGGTTGTGATGGCAATTAATAGATACTAAGTAATGCTGTTCTCTATATTCAGTGTTTTTAGTTGATGATTTCCTGTCATGATATTAGAGAAGCAAGCATTTCCAAGATTACAAGATTTTCATATTTTAATACATATATACAGTTAAACAAAAAAGATCTGAGTAATATGTTTCTCTTTTGCCATGTGAATGCCACACTGCAGACAAATCTAATGCTTGTTGACAATATCTAATTTGTTTCTGAAATACTTTTAGCTTGCTAATCTCATTTTCAGTCTTTGTATATGTGTGTTAGAAAAAGTCCTGTTAGTTAAGGCAACTGATGATGACAAAACTAAATGAATAATTAAAAGTACTTGATTTCACATAGCAGCAAACATGTTAAATCACAAAACGGCATTCTTGGCCTCACTGAAATTGGCTTCCTTGTGGTAGACATTATTTGCATTCTTCAACAATGACTCAAACAGGTAGACTTTTAAAATGGTACCACAAGCATGTCTTCAAAATTCTGTTCACATGTCTCGGTGGCGATGGAATCTTACTGATGTGATAACAGTCTCGTTGTTAAGAAAATGCACAAGAGAGAAAGCAAAACTCATACGCATATGCATACTGCTCTATTGCATCACAGTCTTGAATTCAAGTGCAACTGATGAGAGATCCATTTGACCAGTTTACTGATTCGACCCAGTTCAGAAGGTCCCCTCCTCTGTCTGTTGAAAACCTGAGTTCTAACCCACCTGCAAAGAAGAATTAACAGTACCACTGATGAGACTTGCAAGATATCCAATTTCTTAGCATAAGACAAGAAATTCACAAAACATTTATGACTCTACTCTTAAGAGCATTTTTCGATCCTCCTTTCCTCTTGAGTTCTATGGTTGGCCCAAAGCAAAGAGCAAACATTTTGTTTAAGATTCACCTTGCTAATGACATCAGAAGTTATGTTCTAGTCACATCATAGTTGGTGCAAATGGACATAGCGATGAGGAAAGCGCCATCTCTTCCCAAGCTGTCAGCAACTAATAGATTTAAAAGATGGGGAGGGAATGGCCATCTAAATGCAGGGAGTGGTATTTTTGCTAGACTGTTAATCCAGAGACCCATGTAATGTTCTACAGACCCGGGTTTGAATCTCGCCACAGAGATGGTTGAATTTGAATTCAATTAAAATCTGGAATTAAAGAGTCTAATGATGAGCATAAATGCATTATTGACTATCGGAAAAACCCATCTGTTGCTCACTAATGCCCTTTAGGGAAGGAAACTGCCATCCTTACCTGGTCTGGCCTACATGTGACTCCAGGTCTGGCCTACATGTCACTCCAGACCCACACCAATGTAGTTGACTCTAAACTGCCCTATGGATAATTACTGATGGGTAATAACTGCTGGCCTAGCCAGCGATGCCCTCATCCCATGAATGAATAAGAAAAACATGGCTTTTGAATAATGTTTTATTGCTCTGGATTAAATATTTAATCTATAGACACACCGAATTGCTTTTTTTGATTTTGTTTTATTTGCTCATCAAACAGATTGCATTTCACAAGAAAGGCTATATAAAAAAAAGCTGTAGGTGTAATGAGAACAAGAGTACGTGGGCGAATGGAATGGAATCAGAAAATAGATTCTCAGGTAAATACAAGTATTTAACCACAGGCATCTTCTATATGCAAAACAGAAACAATATTGCTTTTCATTCCGGGTAAATCAGCTGCTTTCTGCAGAAAGATTGCTATTCTATCAGTTAATTCATTAATTCATAGACTGTGGATTTCGCTGGCCTGGTCAGCATTTATTGCAAAACAAGGTTGTCCTGAATCACTGCAGTCCATTTGGGGTCCATACATTCACAATGCCTTTAAGGAGGGAATTCCAGGATTTTGACCCAGCTACACTGAAGAAACGGCAATATATTTCCAAGTCAGAATGGGAATGACTTAAGGGTCCCGACCCAAAACGTCAGCTTTCCTGTTACTCTGATGCTGCCTAGCCTGCTGTGTTCCTCCAGCTCCACGCTGTGTTATCTATGACTTGGAGGGCAACTTGCAGGTGGTGGTGTTCGCATGTATCTGCTGCTGTTGTCCTTCCAGACTGTCATGTATTTAGAAGCAGCTAAGGAGCCGTGGTGAATTTATGCAGTGCATCTTGTAGCTAGTACATACAGGTACACTGAGTTTTAGTAGTAGAGTAAATGAATGTTTGTGGACATGCTGTCAATCAAACAGACTGCTTTGTCCTGGATGGTGTCAAGCTTCTTGAGTGTTGTTGGAGCTGCACCCATCCAGGCAAGTGGGGAGTATTCCATCACACTCCTGACTTGAGCATTGTAGATGGTGGACTGTCTTTGGAGCTTTGAAGTCAGGAGGTGAGATACATCCTGCAGAATTTTTAGCCTCTGACCTGCTGTTATAGCTGCTGTATTGATATGACTTGTCCAGTTCAGTTTCTGGTCAATGGTTTTCCCAAGATACTGACAATGTGATTTTCAGCTATGGTGATACCATTGGATGTCAAGGAGTGATGATGAAATCTGTCTTGTTGGAGATGGTCATTGCCTGGCACTTGTGCTACACGTATATTACTTGCTAATTGTCAACCCAAACCTGGATAAGGTCCAGGTCTTGTTACATTTGGACAGGGGCTTCTTAAGTATCTGAGCATGAATAGTGCTGAACATCATGCAGTCATCAGCAAGCACTTCCGGGCTTATGATTGAGGAATGAAGCAGCTAAAGATGGCTAGGCCTAGGACATTATATTGAGGAATTCCTACAAAGATATCCTGGAGTTATGCTGACTGACGCCCAGCAACCACAACCATCTTCCTTTGTGCCAAATATGACTCTAACTGCCAGGCTACCATTCACTGTAGTTTTGCTAGAGCCCCTTGAAGCCACACTCAATGCTGGGCCATGAGGTTAGAGATGATTGAGCACAATTTAGCATTGTGGCAGTGTATCCCAGCATGATGGAGGAATTCTCAATGTGAAGACAGGATTTTATATCGAAACGTACTGTGTGATGGTCTGTCCTAACAATTCTGTCATGGAGATTGCATCTGTGAGTGGTGGATTGGTGAGGACGAAGTCAACTATGTGTTTCCTTCTTGTTGGATCCCTCACGACCCAGTCTAGCAGTTGTGTCCTTCGGGTCTTGAGCAGATCGGCAGCAATGGCACTGCCAAGTCACTCATAGTGATGGACATTAAAGTCTCCCACCCAAAGTACATTCCGCACCTTTGCCATCCTTAGCACTTCCTCCAACTGGCGTTCAAAATGGAGAAGTATTGATTCATCAGCCAAGAATGGGCAGTATGTAGTAATCAGTCAGCACTCTCCTGGCCCATGGTTGACCTGATTCCTTGAGACTTCATGGAGCGTAAAGTCAATATTGATGATTCTCAGTTCAACTCATTACTGTCTGTATACCACTGTGCTGCCACCTCTGGTGGGGTCTGTCCTGCCACTAGGACAAAACAAATGCAGGGATCGCGATGGTGGTGTCTGGGACATGATCTGTAAGGTATGATTCTATGTGTAAGAGCATGTCAGGCTATTCCCTGAATAAAAGTTAAAAAAATGAGAGAGCGGTCTCAAAGACTAGTCAGGCTGTTGCCTCTCTTATTTTTTTCCCTTTTATTCATGCTTATAAGGTCAAATCATGTAATGAACTCTTGGCAATTTTAATAATAATAGAACTACTCTAACAGGGTATTGCCAGTGCAGTGCTCTGGATTGGCATTTTCTCAATGTACAATCAGAGGAACATGTATATGTCATTCCAATTGCAAATAGTTTTGGAAAATCTAGAAAGTCACTTAGGAGATGCACAATGGTAGAGCAACCACCACATGATGAACTTTTCCTCAGTGACCAATATGCAAACCTTACCATAAGAGCAGGACTGGCTGCTTTCATTCAGAAAAATGTCTGATGAAAGGTCCTCAATCTTTTTGTTTCTCTCTCCACAGATGCTTCCAGTTCTGCTGAGTATTTCCAGCATTCTCTATCTTTATTGTGGGAGACATTGCTTTTGGAAGAATCTGTTTCTGGATGTTGCCAATTCTGAAAGCTTCCAACTATGTTAATGATTTATGAAGAATCTCTGTATTATTAAAAACAGCTTCAGCATTTGGAATTACTTCTATATCAATGGGAGGCATTTGTAATCACCAATACCATGACCCATTTCACCATAATATAACCAAAGGCCAACCAGCTATTGACATACATGCCACTATTTTTACAGCAGTGAGACACTTCAGTGACCCGATTTTGAAAGGTGCAACATCTGACTATAATATTTAAATCTGGCCCTACAATGGCTCAGCGTATTTTTCCCAGGATCAGAAAACTTTAGAGGCAAATGGAAATGAAACAGAAGCAGGTAAGAGCTTTTTTTTTAACCATTCTGTCCTTTGGCCAGCAGGACAGAAAAGGGCAGAGACTTGCAAGGTAATCTTCTAACACAATTGGCAAAACACTGCACCCCTAATCCCATGATCACAAGCCTGCATCACCTTTCCTTCCTGATCTACCAAGCTGCCCCAACCAACTTCTGCCTCACAATTGCTTCCAGTTTCTTACTCCCTTCCAAATCCCATCCTCTATCAATCTGGCCAGTTGATTAGCAGGAAGCATTGTGAAAAAAAGTTATAATATAGAACAGTTATTAAATTTCCTAGGGCATCTGTATTCCTCTGATTCATAGATTTCTGTCCCCAAACATGCTCCTTCTTCCCCTCCCAACCCAATGAAAATTCTGAGGCCAATAAGTTTGGTAGTGGTTATCTCAAACATTCCATACAACAAAACAACACTGAATAAGAACAAAAGTCTAAAAATGTAAAAAATTATACCTGTTGAATCTGACCAGTTGCCATCCTGAAATGTCAAATGGGAGATTGCTTCTTGTTCATTTGTGACAAGGTTATTCTCGAAGGGAGTTAGTGGCATTGTTCCAATTACATTACTGAGGTATCCTTTCCCTTCAATGCTGCTATGTTCCCATTGACTGGATTCTTGTGTGATCTACAAAAAAAATATTAAAATAAAACATAATCAAGACTTTAATCACATTATTTTATCCTCAATCCTAATCAAGTATCACCAAAATTTTCTTTTTATTCAATCATGGGATTTACTATGCACTCAATTGTAAAAATCTCTACAGTTTTAGTTTTAAAGTTACAGTTAGCTGCGATTACTTAAGTTTTCCCTATGGCTCACAGTGTCATGCTGTTTAAGCAAACTGAGTCAGAAGAAATTTCTTAGAAAATTTAAAAGGCTATGTGGCACTTACAAGTGATCAGAATCTGCAACAATTTTATTTCAGAAATTAGTCAGTAATGGGAGGGATTACTGTTTTTTGCTTCAGCAGATTTATAGCATCATGGAAGTTGTTTAACCCCTATGTTTTGGTGCAGACATCACATTTGATGCAGTGAGTGTTATGTGCTGACCATCACTAAAATTAGCCAAGACTGCTGCCATTGACAGAACAGTATAAAGACTACCTACTTCTACAACTTAGAATATGGGTGTTACGGATATATTCCTAGCACAGTATACGGAAAGATACCATCATTAAGAATGGACAATGTGAACTCATTAGAACTTTTATAATTGAACTCGGAATCTTCACTGCAAGCATTTCTAAAGTGGATTTAACAAAAACCATTCCACAAGCATTATTACTGTGTGAATCCCAAAAAGTAAAATACCCAGATTGAAAATAATTTCATGCCACAACAACTTCAAATGAATCGAGGTTGAGATTTACAACAAACTGATTCATTCTTCTACCAGGTAACAAAGTAAATAAGTGCCATCAGTAACAAGCAGGACATTTTGCCAAAACGTTTTCTGGGAAGCATGGCAATGATTTGTGACCAATCATGAAACACACATCTTTCAGAAATATTCAGGACTCTGGAATCAAGAACATTTACCAGAAACAGCAAAGTGCTGGCAAATGTCTGCCCTCAGCTACAAGTTATGGTAATCCAAAAAAGGGCTGGAATATAAGAAATTGAAAGTATCTGAGAAAACAATGTGACTCACTCAGCATTGCTGACTTCTCCAGACAAAAGGTGAGTTTTAACTCATAATATTACTTTTAGATTTAATGGCCACAAAACAGATACGAAATCACATGGAGCTTCCCATAGATAATTTTCTCAGTATATTCAACTTACTTCAGAAGCTTCATCTATTGTCAGAAAGCTGTCAGCTGCGCTGGCTGCTATAAAGAACAAGACAAAGCAAATTCAGTACAAACCAGTGGATTTGCCAGACACCTAAATCATGCTACAGAAAACAAACATTCCCCTCTTCTCTCCTGCCAAGTCAAACAGACTCCTTACATACAAATACCTCATCCTGTTCACCCTAACCAAGGTTTTTAAACCCACTTTTAAAGTTTGGACTGCTCTAATGATAAATGTTAACCTGTCTGTAACTGGGCAAGTTCAAAACAGAAAAATACAATGTCAAATCAAATGTGACAAAAAGGTAACTTTTTTTTTGGAATTTAATTCATTGTGGTTTGGTATCTTATTTATTTTTCTCATCCACATTTTATACTCATAAATAGTACCTGTTAACAACCTGAGCCTTCAGGCCGAGATGTGCTGAGAATGTTGAGATCTATGAATGCTGATGCCAAAGTGAGCACAACTTTTAAAAGTGGATTTAAGATTGCATTTTGCATTATTTTGTTGCACAAGTATCCTTCAATTTGAAGATAAATGGCTGTTTGTAGTATATTTTAATATATTGCTTTGTCTTTATATATTATTAAACATGATTTTTTTTTCTGCATTAACAGAATTCAGGTATCCTTGACTGAGTCAGAAATACTTTCATCAATGAGTCACAGAAGGTTGTAAATTCAAGCACCACACCAGATACTTGAGCATTTAATCCAGGCTTACATCCCAGTATAGTGCTGAGAGGCCGCTGCACTGCCAAAAGTCCCATCTTTCTGTAAGTCAAGGATGGTCTGCCCTCTCAGTTAGATGCAAAGTATTTTCAGCACTATTTGAATAGTGAGGGAGGTGTCCTGGTCAGTACTCTTCCCCAACCAATAGCACTAAAACACATTCTTTGGTTATATCAATACTGATTGTGGCATCTTGCATGCAAATTAACTGTTGTATTACTACACATTACCCCAGTAACTACACATCAAAAGATACTTGAATGATTATAAAGTAGTTTAGTATGTCCCCAGTTGTTACACGGAGCCTTTGTTTCTTACTTACATTCAGAAGACAGCAAACAGCAAACAAAAATGCCAATTTATTCTGAGAGTTGTATTTGTAGTGAGGGAATAATAAAATATATCATAAAGTTTTGGGTCTACAGACTATCTCCTCCTGGCCTGCTGAATTGCTAATGTCAGTTGTCGTCTAGGAGACCCAATAGGCTGCTTACATTTTGGATCACAGTGGAATGTAAAACCAGAAGGGAGAAAAAACAAAAAGTTGTACTCTATGTGATAGGGATTTACTCCATTATGAGAGGACGGCCACTTACAAGCATTTTAGAACCATAGAAAACTATAGAAATGCTACAGTACAGAAAGAGGCCATTCAGCCTAAAGTGGCTGTGCAGATGAAAAAACTGGCCACTTGTTCTAATCCTACTTTCCAGCACCTGGTCCACAGCCTGGTAACCCATCTGCCCAATAACAGTATCACTGGGTAACTACCAGTGCAGTATGACCCCGGAACATCATTTTCTACAACACAATGTAGAACTTCAACAGATTCACATTAAATTTCAATGAGGGAAGTTTGTTAGGAAATACTCAAAGTCCTTCCTACTAATTTAAATTGATAAATAAATCTGATTTTATGGTACAAGACCTGCATGTGCATTGCCTGATTAGTGGATCTATTGGGATTCACTAAGCCCAACGCTGAGAAATTTTAGCAAGTGACCTTACTAATTTGGCACATTAATCTTCAGGTTGTAGTCAGCTGTGTGAATTTCAGACATTACACACCAGAGGTCCTAGGAAGACTTTACATTGCAATTTGCCATTGCGAATTCATAAAGTGCAGACATCTGGAAGTCTCAATGAGGATACTTTACTGCAATTGTGTAGGACCTTGTTGGAGCAACGTACTTGCCTTGAACTGAGCACAGCAAGTCCATCATAAACAGGTGACATTATTGAAATGTGGTATTTTCGTGGGGATGTGTAGGATAGATTAGTGAGTATCAAGACCCCAAGTGGGTTAGCAAGCTGAAAGTTTAGGGTCAGGAGATGGGAGGTAGCAATGGCTGCTATAGAGCCCTGACCAAGTTAGAAAAGTTGATCTCTCACCCTTAAAGACTGTCCCCCCTCAAAGCAACACACCCAGTCCTTCCCTTCCCCAGTCATCACAATTCATTGAGATTTTGTGACAATTCTAAAGCCTCAAATTGGAGTCACAGTGGGAAATGGATTGGGAAGCACTGGGTTGATGCTTGAAGAATGTTTCCCTCACAGTGGTGCATTAAAGTTTCAGAATGGTTGAGTGGGGTGGGTGGGGGAGTCCTCTCCACCATATGGGATAAGGATGGGGAGAAATTTGTACACTCAGGATGTTATGGAGCGTTGGCATTGTCAGCCCTAAGAGTGGGGGAGCAGGGATGCTCAGTTGCTGAGTATTTTAGGACACAGGTTGGTGGAATTTTGGATTCTAGGAGTGATGGGGAGATGCTGAAGGAAGGTGTGGTTGAGGTAGAAACACAGGCACGGTTGTATTGAATGGCAGAAAAAGGCTCAGAGACCAACTGGCCAACTCCTACTCTTATTCTGATGTTACGGAATCTGCAGAACAATACCAAGGATAGCAGTTCATTGTCAAATGGCTTTAATGTTTCATTCAAGATAAAGAAATTTGCAAACTTAGAAACTAACTGTATTTGAGCATCTTGTACTAACCTGCAGGAGAGGGCATGGGAGAGATCTGAAATGGATACAAGTCACATGTGCTGACTACCCGATCTTCGGATTCTCCAACTATTTCATTAATAGACCAATCAACAATAGGGCATGATTCCGATGAAGAAAACTCTGTAACAAACAGGTACAAACAAAATAAGATCAGCACAAAGCAAATGTTTAACATATTCAAAATCATATGACCAACTGACACTCATACTATATGCATTTTGAGAAAATGTATTCTTATATACGTGCACAGACTACTTAACAAATCTTTGTCAACATAATGTCTTTTTTCAGCATTTGGTTACAATGTTATTTCAAGCGACAGTGACAAATTTTCTAAGAAATTTTGTATCAATGTAAATGGAAATTCAATGCTTTGTACAACAGTTGGACACAAAATCTCTGGCTAAAGAAAAAATATTATGAGTCCTGTTGATTCCTTTATGTGTCCTGCAAGGGAGGTCACATTCAGGAAGACTGACCAAAGACAGGACAGATATTTGATTCCTCTACTCGCCATATTGGGTGATCTGCCATTGCTTACTAGCTATGCTTACACAGCAATAATTGCTCCTTGGGTACAATATGTAGAAACTAGTGCCGAAAACATTATATAAAAATGTTTAGTTTTAAAGAGTTAAAGTAAACTTTGCATTGCAAAATATCAAACATTCTCTTAAAAGCTTGTTAGCTGTAATAACCATTCTAGTTCTGAGTGGTTTTGCAAAGATGTCTACACAAAGAGATTTTCAGTGCTCTTACCTCCTATATTCACTGTGCTGTCAACCACCATTTCCTGTGAAGTAGATTGTTCTGGTGCAGTATATGTGGTGTGATCAACTGGTAGTTTAGGCGTAACGGGTTCTGTCACCTCTAACTTGACCTTTGACTTGAACTCCTACAAAGATACAAGTAAATTATTTTTGTGATAAAATACTGTACTTGGCTGAAAACATTCTGATTGAGATTATACAGAGCAATGCACAGACATACCCTCTTTCTACTCTTGCTTTTGGAATCTTTGGTTGACCTACACTTCTTTTCTGTTGGGAAAAAAAGAGGATCTGAGCACTCTATATTCCTGTTTAACTTTTAGAATGTAATAAAAAACAGGGGAATGAAAGTACCTTTTTGCTTTGACCTGTCGACGGGTGGTAGCATTCTGTACACTCGAATAGCACTGGAACCTTTATTAACACTCTTATCCTTCACTTCCTCTATATCAGGCAGTGAGTTCATGGCACATCGGAAATTGGCTTTCCACGTTTTAGGCTCTGGTGAATCTATTCCTTGTCTAAACCTTCCTACAAAGAAAATGGAAGAATATGCATACACGTTAAACATCCAAGTTTTTATAATGAGATGCATGCAGGATTACCAATTTAAGGAAAACTGCTTGAAAATTTCCATTTGTAATTTAACTTCTGAGCTTGAATTTCAATCTTTAATGCTGTGTTTTTGCCATTCAATATACAGTATGATTTTAATTTGAGGAAATGGAAATTGTGTGATGTACCTACAAAAGTAGCAATAGAAAATGTAAAACATTTTGAGACCTCAGATTATACCAGCATATTATGGGACGTGTCTTTTAAAGGAGCTGAAAAGCTGAGCCAAGACATCCAGGTGATGTGATGAGAATGTATGCCTTGCAAAAGAATCATCCAAAATTGGATTCAATAAAATATACTTAGATTCTTCTGTTTAAAGGCAAGCTTTGGTCAATGCAAAAAATTATCATTTGTTTTGTCTATGTTTTGTTATGGTCATGACCTTGTGACATTTGTAGGTGTTCTCAACTGAACTGACTTACAAGGAAGGCAATATTGTCAGGTTATTTTTGATACAACACTTTGGTAGTTCACAAATTCTGTTAGGAATATTTAATATAGTACTTATACAAATCCAGCTTCACTCTGTGTCATTGCTAAGACAAAAATCAAGTTACCTACCTGTATGTATAGCCCAGTTTCTGAAAAGGCTTGCATCTGTGTCCATATTCCATCCATGTCTGGCAGCATGCTTCCATGGAATCTGGAACATCTTTCTTTCCTGCATTTTCAAGGGAATAAGTTGGTTTGATCACTTAATAATTGTTTCATATAAATTCAACAATCCAAAACTGCAATGGTTTCCCAGCCAAGTTATCCCAATGCTCATACACTAATTGAATCTACGATGCAATAGATTGAAAACTTCAGATCGAACATGGTTTGCATAAATCGCATTATGGAGTGTGAAAATATTTTTACTGTCTGACCCTTTGTGCTACATGTCCCAGGTGCTACAAAGTTCTTTGGTCACCCAAACTGTCTGAAGCATATGACCTGATTACATGTTACATTGGCAAAGGCTGGGGAGAGGCTTTGACAGAAACAGACCACTTTTACCATTTTCCAAGTGATGAACTACAAACAGTGGTTTGTACACTTTGCTGTGTAAGAAGAAAAAAATGCCTCCACTTGCAACTACTCGTTTTTGATTAAAACATAAAAATGGCAGAAATATTAGTTTTTTTACAAAGCTGTGCATCTGCACATTGTATTGAATGAAACAATATGTACTTGCCTTGTTTATCCAAATCAACCCAGGAATTGCATTGGAATTTATCTGTAATTCCAGCCAGGGTCTCATACGCATTCTTGTCATAGGCATATTTCTAGAGGTCTGCTGTGGAAAAAAGCAAAATGTTTTTATCTGAAATGTAGCATTACCAAGATAATCCTAAGTATCGCTGGTCTATGCTGAGCTAATTGAGTATAAGTCAAGACAATGGCATTGTACAACTGGTTAGTGTGCCTGGAAATTATTAAAAACTATTTTAGGTCTTCCGGCGTAGTGGCAGTGTTCTTTGGTCCAGAAGTCACAAGTCCTACGTACTTTAGAGGTCTCTTATAACATATCTGAACATCCTGATAAAATCTATACAAAATATTTATCAGGAAGTAGATAAATTAGCCACACTTTTCATTATTGCTATTTCAAGTTCTGTGTTAAAAGGTCCTATTGAATTGGATACAAGCTTTCATTGACAAAAAACCACCTCACTGACCCAAGCTCTCATTACCATATGATTAGGTACCAGAACCAGCAAAGCGCTGTGAAGTTGAAATCTGTACAGAAAAGATAGGGCTTTTTTCAAGGATTTTATTTTCAAAAGTATTATTTAAGCCAAATTACATAAAATAAAAGTTAAGGTTGTAACTGTGATACTACTTGTGTCGTTTTTAAGCATTTATTGCCAATGGGTTTCAACTTCAGGACTTGAAAGTTTAAAGTTGTGCAGCAGTATCCGTGTACGTGCTACTCCATCGGGTACAAACTGAGTAAACCACTAGGCGGACTGCACATAATATGAGCCGATAGGGTACGGAAAGGGAGGTGCTTCCTGATCTGTGAAAATCGCATCCCGCAATGTAATCCGGTGAGTTATTTAAAAAAAAACTCCCGCTTCCTCGTATCGCATCTCAGCAAAAAGACACTGACAGCGACTCCGGCCTTATCGTCAACCTATGAAATGTATGAATTTGCTGAGGCTGATGTAAAAAAAACTAGTTCATCCAGTCTCAATTGTGTGAAGCCGGTCGCATGCAAAACTACGAAGGTGCGCGTATTTAGCACAAAACACATATGTACACGCTTTACTTGGATGAATACCTCTTACGTTTTGCAAATTATGCCTTAAATGGAACCACAATCCTACATTACACTGTAATTTAGTTGTTAAGGAAGACAGCAGTTAACTGTCAAGTGAATTCTAAATTATTAGCAAATGTCATTTTATAGTGAGCAACTGTATGATCACAAAGTTTGCAAATACAATGCTCGGTTTCTGAGCTCCCATTTCTTCACTACTTCCGCGTACACGGTACTCTGTTTAGAAAGTCAACACAATAATTATTGTTTGAAATCTCGCCTTGTTAAAATTTTACATATTACTGTCATTGTGACCTGAATATTTTAATATTAAAAAATATATATCGTTGTATAGACTGCAGCCTAATCCAAACAAATTATTATTCCGAGATTTTTTCTATATTTATGATTAAACAATTATTCTTTTCTTGATTTTTCACTACATTGCAAAAATGTTTTTCACCTTTCAAGTTGTTGCAAGGCTGTATCGAAAACGCACCTGACGCAAAGGAATAACAATCGTTACATGAACGCACGGCGTACAGTAAAACAGCTACCTGCGGGTAAAGCCGGTATCAAAGCTCAGGAGAGCACAGCTCTCGGAGAACCGCTCAACAAGATTTCTTCTGTTGATCTGAGGTTCTTGAGGGCTTGATCGCTATATTAAAAATCAAAACAGGACGCGGGAATTCCCAACAACACCCATGACAGAAACGGCGGACCAATAACAACTGTCCTAAATTGCTTAAGGGCGACACCATTGGTAAGGCTGCTGCACTCATCATTTCGGGGAAATCATGCTGTTTATATTGCTTTGCACTGAATGGGGGAAGTACGCCACCACGCAGGGGAGGATCGATAAACAAGGGCTGAAATAATGCAATAATTTGCAATATTACTGAAAAAAATAATAATTTTGTGATATTCTGTTATTCTTATTTGTGCAGTGTTGCTGTGTCTATCTGTTAATGCAGCTTTTATTTCAGATTTCAACTTTTCGTACAAAATACACATTCACAAAAAAATTACAAAACTTCATTTTTCAAATTATTACACACTCCTGGAGTTTGAAATCAAGTCTCGCTTCAAATGTATCACTCAAGTAGAAAAATGTATCTTTTTTAAAAAAAATCAGATAAGTTTATAATTTAGAGATTTATATGCCAAAGAATATGTGAGAGGGTCCAAATGAATGCAATATAGCACTCTTACTTCATGCCTGTGGTATATTACGTCACCTACACCCCTTGGAAGAGGTTTTAATCGTTCAAAACATGCCATGTTGTTCCTGAGAACTCATTTGTATTATGTTATTATTTATTGTCATAAAAAGCCATAGAATCTTGTATTCCCAACTAACATGTTTTGTTACAGGCTCGATACAATTTGTAAAAATAAGTGATTTAAGTGAGAGCCAAACTTTACAATTTGTAAGGTTTGAATTGCAAATCACAATTGACATAAAAATATACTTGGTGAGCTAATGTAACATGCCTGGACTACAGGAGAATGAAGTTCTGTGCATTGCACGGCATGAAATGTCCTTATAAAACAGAACCTTCGTTTGACTTATTGTGATGAAAGCAGTACAGATGTGCAAGTGTATATACTTTTGGTTTT